GGTGTGCTGATGGGGCGGGGATTGATCCCTCCTCCCCTTGAGCCTGTTTGACTCTGCGTGCTGATGGGACTGTATTTGTATGAGTATCACGGACACACAGACGAGTGTTACGGTTAATGACAGTTTCCCCCCCCCATTTGAAATTGCTGCTGAGGGCCTCTGCTTTCGCTGCCCTTGCTCTCCTGTTGGGGCTGTGATTCTGCGGCTGTGGCGATATCATTTTCTGATGGCGATGCCGGCGGCTGGTCGCTGATCTCCACCGAGACTTGCTTCTGGGTCGCCATCGGGGAGGGAAGGGAGAAAAAGGCGAGAACTTGAACGTTGGGGAAACGGCTGGGGCGCGAGCTTGGCCCCCAGCCCGGCACCGACAGCACTGGCAGCGAGTAGCGGGGTGAACTGCGACAAGCAGCAATGGAGGACGCTCTTCTCTCCGCCGCATCGATTCCATCGCCACTGCTGGTACCACAGCACAGAGACTCACACGCACTCACACGGAGACCGCACGTGTGTGCCCGCTGCCACTCACATCAGCAGGTCATTCGCTGTGTGCTCATTCATTCAGATCTTCATTCACTCATCGCCGCTTTTCCCAAACACGCGTGCCCGCCTCCCGCTATCGTCTGCCGCCTTCGAGGAGTTCCTGCAGCTCGTGGATTCCACCACTGCCGTCCGCATGGGCGTCTTCTGCAGGAAACACGCACAGCCCGACAAGGACACTCACAGGAAGGCCGACAAACCGACCATGGACTTCTACGCCATCGGCACCATCTGCCGAGTATTTCGGGCTGCAAGGTGATTTAGTTGCCGAATGAATGTCCTTTCTCACAGCTGCATGTGTGTGATGGTGTGATGTGTGGGTCACACAGGGGCAGCGACGGCGCGTGTTTCCTCGAGGTGGAGGGGCTGGCCCGGTGTGAGGCCACAGACGTGGTCGACAACGGCGGCCGGCACAAGACAGATCGGTTCAGATGGGCTTACGTGTCGCTGAGGCGGGACCAGCAGAAGGGCAACGGCGACAATGAAGCGCAGATCCAGGCCTTGCTGATGTCGGTCCAGAACCACCTGACCGACTTTATCCACTCGTCGGTGAACCGGGGAGAGAAGCCCACACCAGGGACAGACGAAGCCACGTCCAACAACAAGGCCGCATCGTCGCCAGCAATGTACAGACAGATTGGCTGCACACATATTTATGGCGTGCGTCATCCACGTGTGTGTGTGTATGTGTGTCTGAGTCGTTCAGGTATGGGAGCGCGTTGCAGGCCTACATCGACCGGCTGATGGCTTCGTCATCGTCGCTGTCTGACGGCGCACTCACCCGCGCCTCCGTGGTGTGCGACCTGGCCGCATCGCTCATGACACAGGCCAGCGTCGAGGAGAGGCAAAAGGTCAGTCAGTGAGGTGGAGTGGACGCCCATGCATGCATTAAGGCGTGTGTGTCCTATGTGGCCGTGTACACACCACAGGTGTTGGAGGCCCTTGATGTGGAGGACCGTCTGCGGCGTGTGCAGGCTCTTCTGCTCAAGGTACGCGGGCACCAAACCGGACGCATCACATCCAGGCGTGTTTGTATGGCCTGATGTCACACAGGTCATCGAGGCCCACAAACTGGCCGACAAAATCGACGGGAACGTGCAAAACAAGGCAGGCAGGGCGGCACACACACATTCCCGAAAGAGAGAGAGAGAGAGAGAGAGAGACTTAAGAACTATGCCATCTCTGTGTGTATGGTTGCTGGATGATGCCTTGATGGCCGCAGTTGGCCCGTGAGGTCCGCGAGCAGCTCATCAGGCGCAAGATGCAAGAGCTCCAGAAGGTTGGTGGCACACACAACTGGACGGACAAGGAATGAAGCAGTGCACACCGCGCGGCCATGTGTGTCCGCCTGGTGTCAGGAGCTGCGGTCCCTGCGTCAGTCCAGCTCTTCTCCCTCGTCGTCCCAGCCGACAGACAAAGACAAGGCCGCCAACAATAACCACAACAACACCTCGTGAGGGAGCACCATCCATACGAGCATCTGGGTGCGTGTGTTGTGTGTGTGATGTCTGCGTGTGTGTCTGCGTGTGTCAGGGCCTCCGAAGAGGATGAGGACGATGTCGCACGGCTGAGAAACGCCATCAGCAAAGCCGGTGCGCACGTGCATCCATATCTATAGCATGCACACAGAGAGGCGTACGTGTGTGTGTGTGTGTGTTGTGTGGTGTTTTCTGTATGTGTGCAGGCATGGAGGGGGAGGCCCTGAAGGCTGCCAAGAGAGAGGTAGGTGGGTGAATGCCTGCAGGAAGCGGCACACTACCGCCTCCAGTGTGTCGATTCATGTGTGGGGGCGATCGTTCCATTCATTCATCAGCTGCGGCGACTGGAGGCTCTGCAGCCCGCCCATCCAGAATATATGGTGCCTATAGGCTGCCGTCACCTACTCACTCACCCACCCACCATGTGTGTGTGTGTGTGTGTGTGTGTGTGGGTCTGCAGGTGTGCCGCACCTACTTGGAGACCCTCGTGTCGGTGCCCTGGACCAAACACAGCGAAGACTCACTCGACGTCCAACGCGCCAGGGAAATACTCGACGAGGTGAGCGTACTTATACTTATGTGGAGATCTTCGTGTGTCGGTCATCCGTGTGTGTGTGTGACACGTGTGCAGGATCACTATGGTCTCGAGGAGGTCAAGAAGCGCATACTGCAGTTTTTGGCGGTCCGCCGGCTGCGCAACGACATGAAGGGCCCGATACTCTGCCTATCGGGCCCGCCTGGCGTCGGCAAGACATCTCTCGCGTCGTCGGTGGCACAGGCACTTGGTGAGGAGGCGGGTGATGCTTTGCTGATGCCGAGTCAGCTGCACATCTGTGTGCGGGCAGGTCGTGAGTTCCACCGGATTTCTTTGGGTGGTGTCCGCGACGAGGCGGAGATCCGCGGCCATCGACGCACTTACATCGGTGCGCTGCCAGGGGTCATTGTGCAGGCCATGGTCCACACAGGTGTGAGGAATCCCGTGCTGCTGCTCGATGAAGGTGGGCTGGGAGGGTGTCTGTGTATGTCTTCAGATTCGCGTGCACCGATGTGTGCCGCGGTTCATATGCTCAGTTAACAAGTTGTCGTACGGCAACCCCCTGCACAATCCCTCCGCAGCCCTTCTCGAAGTGCTCGACCCCAAGCAGAACCACAAATTCACGGTAACCTAGAAGGCGTAAGCCACATACGACCAACCAACCATCGTGTGTGTGTGTGTCTGTGTGTCTGTGTCTGCAGGACCACTACCTCGGAGTTCCGTACGACCTCTCCAGGGTGTTCTTCATCTGCACGGCCAACACGCTCACCACCATGCCTCGAGCTCTCAGGGACCGACTGGAAGTCGTCCACATCTCGGGTAGGTACTCACACACACATGGATGGATGGATGGATGGGCCAGCCAATGTGTGTGTTTCGGTCAGGCTACACGATGCATGAGAAGGAGCGGATTGCCGAGCGGCACCTCATTCCCAACAACCTGCACACACACGGGCTCACCGATGTGCGTATGCCACACACCGACCGACACACATACGGAGATAGAGATAGAGTCTCGTTGGTGTGTGTGCGTGTGTGTGCAGAAGGACGGCAAGGCCGCTTTGGAGATCAGCCCAGAGATCATCCAAGAGATCATCTGCAAGTGAGTAGTCAGCGAGCCAGAGAGGAAAGGGACCCATACACGCCTTTGTGTGCGGCAGGTACACGGCCGAGAGCGGCGTTCGTGAGCTTGATCGATGCATTGCCGCCATCTGCCGGTGAGCAAGGGACAGAACGCAAGACACACAACTGTCTTGTCCGTCCATGTGTGTGTCCGTCTGTGTGTCAGTTGGGCGGCTCTGAAGGCCACCGATGGCGACGCAGCTGCGGCATCTGAACCACCACCGCCAGCCGCAACAGCAGCACCGCAATCTGTCATCAGCGTGCAGAAGGAAGACCTGGTCGACATACTCGGCAACGAGAAATACTCGCTGGGTGAGCGGGCGAGTGTGTGTGGATGTGTGTGTGTGTGTGCCACTGCGTTTGCGTGTGTGTGTAGGCGTTGCCCACCGGCTGACCACTCCTGGCATTGCCATCGGTCTCGCCGTCAACTCGACGGGCGGCGACATTCTCTTCATCGAGACCAGCAAAGTGCAGGTCGGTCGGTGAGGCCATCACTGAGCAGACCATTTGCCCCCCCCACACACACAAGCGTTATGTGTGTGTGTGTGTGTGTCCAATGTGTGCAGGGGAGCGGCGGTCTGATTGTGACGGGACAGCTGGGCGAGGTCATGCAGGAGTCCGTGCGAACCGCACTCACCATCCTGCAGGCACGCAGCCACTCACTACCCAACTCACCCTCACTCCTACCCACACGCCAGCCGTGGTTGTGTTGGTCTCCGTCACAGGCCAAGGCGCTCAACAAGCCGCCAAGCGACGACGTGCAGGGCGACATAGGTAGGCACCACCACCACACACCCGTATACAGACACACGAGCAGCCACATCGCCGGCGTCACCCTTTTCCAACCCCCCACAGGCATGTTGCCGTCGGCCTTCTCTGACATCGACCTGCATGTGCACTTCCCAGCGGGCGCCGTCGCAAAGGTCCGCTGGACTGATGGACAGCACACGTGTCTGTGTCTGTCGGTCTGGTGTCTGTGTGTGCAGGACGGCCCGTCGGCAGGCCTCGCGACCACTATCGCCCTGGCGTCGCTCCTGACCGGACGGCTGGTCCGCAGCGACACGGCGTGGACGGGGGAAGTCACCCTCAGGTACACACACATCAAGTCACGGACGATGGAATGGGTGTAGGGTTTTCCCTTTTTCCTTGTGTGTGTCTTCAGAGGCCATGTCTTGCCTGTGGGCGGCATCAAGGTGAGTGAGTGAGTGAGTGAAGTGCACGTGCTTGCCAAGTAGATAAGACACATGATGTTGGCCGGCCATGTTCTGTGCAGGAGAAGGTCTTGGCGGCGCACCGTGCAGGCATCTGTCGTGTGGTCCTGCCCTCGGCAAACAAGCCGCAACTCAGAGACATCCCGAAGGTGACCAAACCACTCACACACCCCTCCCAACCGACCGCCAACACACTCCCGTGCTCTCTCGCCCCGTCCCTTGATTTGTGTCAGGACATATCTGAGTCGATGGAGTTTCCCCTAGTGACCTCTGTGGACGAAGCGCTGCAGATGGCCTTTGTGGACGACAGCGAGACGGGAGAGGGGACTGCTGATGAGGACAGCAGCAAGGGCAGGGCCGTCAACGATGTGCCGCTGGTGAGGGCCATCATCGCAGCTAAGCTGTGAGTGAGGCAGATCGGTGGATGGATGAGTGCTGGTGGGTGGGTGTTGGTGGGCCGAGTTGGGGTAGATGCGTGTGTGTGTTCGGTGGGGCAGGGAGGGGTGTGTGTTTGTGTGTGTACATATGGCATCGCGCAGAAAAGATTAGACATCACAACTGTAGTGTAGTGCAGTGCAGTCTTTGTAGCATTCCTTACTGTCCACCTCCACACACATACACACATACACACATCCAAACATAGCGCTGACACCCTGCGTGAGAGAGAGAGAGATAAGCAGAGGCTGTCGGTCGTCTGCTGGGATAGCTATCCATTTGACCACCCGGCCATATGACCCATTGTACTCACTGCAGTGTACATGTCTGATGAGTTTTGCACAGACGGATAGAGGGACACCACAGGCATCTCAATGTCCTCCTCCTTGAGTGAACATGCGATCAATATGGAGGCCTCACTCAATGAGCTTGTTCGCCCCCCCCCCCCGTCGCTCGCTGTCATTAAATCTATGTGACACAGCACAGCACAGACACATTTCGTGTCTCCCCGTCTCTGTCTGCCTGTCTGTCTGTCTGCTGCTGGCAAAGGAGGGGGTCAAGTCAAAGGTAGACGCCAAAGCAGCAATCAAGTAATGCACGGATGAACGCGTGAACCGCACTCAGCTATGTAGCTGGTCCGTCAAAGGCAACGAGACATCACTCTTGAGCAAAACCAGCCAACCGATATAAAGTGCAGGCAGCGATGATGCTTTTCTATCGCTGGCAACCCTCCCCATGCAGCCAAACGACCCACACACCCGCACACCCATGCAGGCAGTCTGTCAATCCACTCCACCACGCCTTAAGCCAGGCCACCCACCCATGTTCGGACGCCTGACAGACTGACTAGACAGACACACAGACAGATAGACAGACAGACAGACACACACACAGACAGACAGACAGACAGGCAGACAGGCAGCCCTCTCCCCCCTCTCCCCCTTTGCTATCGCTGCGCCCCGGCTACCCTCGGCCCGTCATTCGTGTGGCATCGCAGATGTGGTCAAGTCGCCAGCAGCTACGATGTATGTATAATTCTGGATGTCCCAAACGACGCCTTGTATGATGGAAGTCGCGTTCTGCAGCCCGACTGTGATGTTGTGGAGTGCCATCGTCGCGTTCGTTCCGTTGTTGAATGCTGCTGCTGTGATGTTGTGCAGAGTTCCTGTGTAATCAACGAAAACCGATGCCGCCACTCGGACAGTGTTTGGCGACTCGGTCGCTGTTCTGATCCGCCCTGACAGCACAAGGAAGCCCTCCGCCGGCAGGGGTCGAGCAGCCACAACGTCACATGTGGCACCAGCCTGCCATCGCTTGCCCGCCGCCTCCTGTTTCGTGTGTTGGTGGGCGACGCGGGCTCGAGCTTGCCATGTCTTCCTCAATATAAAATGTAGGCACCGATCGATGGACGATGACCTAATACCAGAGACACATGCGGTGATTTGCTACTCAGCTTCAGATCAGACACTTACTATAAGGAGCATGGCACTTTCCGTCGCCCCGCCTCCCTCTCCTCGTGGTCCCCCTCTCACGGTGATGTCGTCCTTTTTGCCCCCCCTGCCGTCGAAAAAGTCGGGGTCGTCGGCGATGTGGATGGTGCAGTCGAGGCTGGTGTTGTATGCCAGCTCACCAATCCCCCTGGCCAGCTTGGCCGCCGTCATACACCACATGCCGTCCGCCAGGTCAACGACGCCTTCGATGAGGATGCTGTCGGAGACACCGTCGGCGGCCGCGATGATGACTCGACAGGCACCCTCAGGCACTAAGGGTGGCAGTCCAGAAGGGGGGCTTGTTGGCGGGGAGCGACCTCAGTCTTCTTGGCAGCGGATCCACGCTGTACTGGCGCCCGTCGCTGGTCTTGACCCGCCACCCTGCCGCGTTTGTCCACAGCTTGCTCAGCTGGAAGGGGCAGTTCAGTGGCGGGGACCTTCATGAGCTGGCCCTCGATGGTCCCCTCGAGGCCGTCAGGGCGGATCACAACAGCCACCGAGTCGCCAAAAGTGGCCTGCTTGGCGAAGACTTCACCGTCCTCCTCCACCAAGGCGACGGTGGTTGCCGTTGTGGAGCCCTTCGGGCCGTGCACGCCGCCAGCATCACCGCCCTCGCTTTGGTGTGGCGGCCGCTGCTCTCGTCCGCTGATCGGTCCTCGCGCCGGGACATCAGATAGCGGGCGATGTCCCATTCAGGCAAGTCCTCCTTGAGCGTGATGGTGTTGACGTTCATGAAGAACGCTTGATGTCTGTTCTTGGGGAGCAACGCAGACGATTCATCTTGGTTTGACGAAGCGATTTCGTCATTCGAAGCTTGAGGCGAGAAAAACTCCGTCTCATGTGTCTCCAGCTCGCGTCGAGACTTCTCGACCGGCAAACGGCAAAAGGACCGCATGCACAGCGTACAGGTCGTCGCTGCGCGCACCGCGATCTCCGCTGCCTCTTTCACAAACAAATCCTCACGTCTAAATTATGAAGCTTACGAGCGCCGTGTCGATTGCCTCCCTCCTGCTGCTGTCGGCCTGCTCCTCACACACGGCTGCTGGTGCGGCCCCTGCAGTCGATGAGCGTCGGACAGCAGATGATGGTGGCGGCCCTATCGATGCCCTCAAGCAACAGGTGACGCAGACAGACAGACACGCAGACTGACGGACAGACAGACAGACAGACCAATTGCAACGTGCACGGAAGGCGTATGTGTGTGGCGTGGCGCTCTACTTGGCAGTTTGAGGAGTTCCTAGCGGTTCTGGAGGTGCCACAGCAAGACACCGCTGCTGCTGATGGTACTCAAACAGATGCAATGCGGACCCGCCGGCCGATATGCGTGTGTGCGTGTGTGCAGGCGAGGACAGAGAGCAAGACGAGAGGAAGAGGGCCGCCAAGCTGACCATCGACAAGGTGCGCAAGGCGGTCAGCAAACTCAAGAAGGGCCGCCTCGCCAAGACCGCCAAGGCCACTAGCGAGCAGAGCCCGTACAGCCCCGAATTCATCGCCGGTGTTGACGCGTTTGTGGCCGAAGTCAACTCCAGCATCGCCGCATTTCAGGCGGCATTCGGCACTGAGATCGGCGATGAGATATCGGTGCTGCTGGTGAGCATCGAGGAGGACTTGGAGGCCATCGAGGTGGTGGCTCAGACGGGGGGCGTTGACGTCGTCGTGAGGGGCATTGGCGACCTCGACGCCATCGATGTTGAGGCTCAGGCTGACCTTGAGGCTCAGGCTGACCGACCTGACGCCATTTCAGCCGCGGCTGCCGCAACGGGGGCTCGTCGGGAGCTCCTTGGCGAGTTCGAATCCCGTGGCGGTGCGACACTGAGCGCGAGCATGGCCGCGCCGAGCCGTCGGGGGAACTCGGGCGGGTGTGGC